GTAACTTTCACCAGATGGAGACAACCAACAGGCAAATCTAGCTACCAAATGGGAATCAAAAGAGGGAACATGGCCAATGTGAGTATCAAATAAAAGATGGAGCAATGAAAGGAGCTAAATGGGCAAGAGCAGCTCTGAATCGGCTCAAGGAGACCTTCATACAGCAGCAGAGAGGAAATGGGTAGTGATGATTTCATACACTGTTTCCGGATTGAATTTGTACCCCCCCTTAGGTGCGCTTCCATCAAGTACAGGCATACAGGCATCTTCTGAATAGAAGGTGAAATATTAGGAGAATCCTCCATGAGTGTTTAATTCTTAATATGCCCTGTGCAGTTAAGATTCAGATTTGGCAAAACTCATGACCATGTTGATGACATTTGATGATTTGAATTATTTCTCCCTTACAGATAAGGTCTGGGACCCGATGGGTAATTTGGAATGTCGCATGCTAAAGATTGCATCTACTCTTGAATTGTCATTTATGACATGGAGATCTGGGTTTCTGATGGCAGAGAGAAGAGAACTGATATAACGAGGAATAGTAGTAACTAAAGGTGAAACTAGAGCAAGAAAGTTAGGTTTTTCAAAGGACAGAGAATGGGAAATAGCCACCAGAGGCAAAGCTGAGAGTCTCGCAACCATAATCGGTAGCATTTTTGTCTCATCTCAACTGTTATCTGCAATGCTGGGTCCATTCCTTGCTAGGTCTGACTATTTAATTACATTGGTATTGGGTCTTAGCTGAGAAGGGCTGAAAATGGGCCACGAAGAGGCATTCGCTACATGTGGCCATCCCAATGTTTTCTAATTACAATTATTTGTAAATAACCTGAAATGCTATGATAATTGCTGTGAGAAGTCATGATTCACAAAGTCTCTTCCTGCTGAGGGGCCTGCAAGCTTCAGTTGTCTTCACACAGAAGACATTCAACAACATGCAGTTATGTTTAAAGATGGGATGCCATTTTCCCAGAACATCTGATAACTGGAGAATTTCCTTTCATGGTTGTTCTTATTAACCATGTTTCATTGCAAAAGAATAAAAGCGTATTTTCTTCTCTGCGGTCATCCCAAAAACAGAATTATCACCAATGATCCAGCAACCATGCAGGGCAATAAGCCTGACATGTAGCAGATTTTCTAGAAATATTTTCTTAACACTGTTCATAATAGGGGGGGGGGGGGGTACGAATTCCATCCGGAAACGGTGAATGCAACTTTGCATCAAATATCTTAACACTTGATGCGAGAAATAAAAGAAAAGGTGATGGGCTGCGAATGCCAATGCTATGAAATGACACGACCAGCTGCTTCATCCCACCTTCAGAGTATTAATGGAAAAATTGTCCAAGGTTAATGGTACTGAAGTTAGACCCAGGTTGGTTAAGCCATTAAGCCTCACACAAAACTTAAATTAATGAAAATTGTAATCGAGAGCGTAGGCCTAATTTACCTTGGAAGCCTAACGGAGAGCCTCGGCTCACACTTGGCTTAGAATATTAAACTGCGGCAGCCCCAGCACGACATCGGAGGCTTTATCTAGGTTAAAATCATACCGATAATTTAAAAATCAACAAGAGGCACCATTCAGAGCAAACGAAGTGAGTCACTGAATTCCTAAAGGCCCCGGATACCCCAAGCCCCACCGAACGCTTCCCGTCCACACTGCTTGCGGCCATGCTTCGCTGGAGCAGGAGGCGGAGCTGCGGGAAGTCGGTTGGAGCTCTACGTCATCTAACGTCCCATCCTTCAACTTCGGTGTGAAATTCTCTCCGTCAGAGTGCTCTGTCGTCTAGGGAGCCTCGAGCCCGAGGTGAAGCGATGCGATGAAGCGTCAGACTTTTCCTGCGTTTCAGCCCAAGTTTGCCGTGAGTCCCGGCAAATTTTATTCGTTTTCGTGCATGCTTAACGCAGTTCGGTCTCAAATGTAAGACTGGAAGAACTATTTCATGAATTTCCAGGCGAACATTCATGACAATTGTCTGGTAACTAACCTCATAGTCCATGAAAGAGCCTTTGTAGAATTCTTCATAGAAATTCCGATGAATCATCCATTGCCACTTCGTTTCCCCGAGAACTCCCGTAAATCCGTCTTTCCCGCAAAGGAAAGCGTCCAGAAAACATGCCACACAAACCCTGAATCCTCACGTGGATCGGGCGGGAGTTCCCAGCAATATTCTCACCTCAGAATCCGAGCCAATAGTCGCTCGACACATCATATATGCGACATCGAGACCAATCACGTGACCGAGGCCAATTTTTTCTTTGTTAACGCTCGAAGTTTTTCACCACGTGACATCGACGATGAAGATTTCAAGTTTCATCCAGCGCTTCAAATACAACAACGTTGAAATGGCTATTGCTTTTTAGAACTCTCTCTCCTCCACACGAGATCTCACTTTAAATAAATCAATCAATAACATTTCCACATCTGAAGAAACCGAAGAAACAATAACAATGAACTGGAGACGAAGCACGACCAGCTGAGAAGTCGGAGGAAGGCACTCGGCGAAGCCAAGCGGACGCTCGACGGGAGGGCGAGCAGTGGACAGCAGAAGCGAGCGCGGTGGATGTCGGGCTGGTCCTCCCTACCCCTCCCGTCCCTCCCTCCCTCCCCGCCCTCCCGCCCTCCCTCCCTCCCTCCCTCCCTCCCCCTCCCCTCCTCCCTCCTCCGTTCCTCATCGCTGGAAGATTTCCGAGCGTCTTTCGTTCCTCGTTCGTTTGTTGGTTGGGTGCAGGCGGGGTTTCCTGGATCCGGTCGGGTGGCAAGGCGTGACCGGTCGATAGCATCTGGGATGAAACTCGCCGATCCTAGTCTGTAATTAGCATTTGTCACCACTAACCACGGTCTCGTGAATCCGTTTGCAGACATCCGACTCCAGGAATCACCAATAATTAATTTCGGTCGAGCGAAAAACCTTGCCGGTCCGAGTAAGGCGGCCCTTGAAATGTCGATGCGGCCCATCTGCCTCGGTTTATTCGCGCTGTCGTCGCATCTGGTCGTGGAATAACTGAGTTTCAGGGAAGTGTCGTGTGGATCCCATGTTCATGAGAATTTGGCACCTGTAAACGACTGGGAAATCTGGAAGTGACAAAGGATTCTACCACCTATAAAATTCTTTCGTAAGGAGTGACATTGAAAAATCACGGGTTGATTTCAAAAGGGCAGTTCGGTTCCAATTCCAATTCCGGTTCCGGTTCCAATTCCAATTCCAGTTCCGGTTCCAATTCCAGTTGGGTTTATCGTTCCGCAGTCGCGAGAGTCTGACCAGAGTGTGATTATGGTTCGAACCAATTAGTATGTCTGAAGCCTCTCTTCTGTGATAGGGAACTGGAATCAGACCACACCCTCGGGCAACTGTCTCGAGGGGAAGGGCAACCTAATAAATACAATATCTGTCTCGGTTTCTCCTTCCTCCGAGTCGAAGTTGGCGCTGCTCGCTTTTCCTCGTCTCGTCACGGTGGAACGATGATACATTGCTTGCCTTCGCCGTTCGAAAATCGTGCCTGTTGCCCTGCAAATTTCGCAAATCGCGCCTACGAAGCACCCCGCACGCGATTAAGTCCTAAAGCGTTTTCATTCGTATCAATAACCAGGAAGTTAAGAAAGGGTCGACGAGAAGTCCGACCGCAACTGAACAGAGAAGTAACCGAATGGTCAATGGCGAATGGCAACTGCAGTCCTGACTACAGCCAAACTGCAGTCAAACAGGAACTGAAGAACGATTTCAAAATCACAGTCCGTTTAAAAGTCCAGCCGAACTGGGACCATCTTCGGACCATAGTTCAACTGCAACTGAACTGCGGCTTATGCAATAAGCAGCAACCTGTCCTAGCCACATAGGAGTCATAAAAAAGGAACTGAAATAAAACCTGTGGCCGAATTTCCCACCTGCGAGGAGAGGGATTGCTTTAACCATTACTTTTTTTTCTTTTTTTTTTTTTTTACCTATGTGACTTATCAAGATCGACTTTCACGACTGTCTTATCCACAAATTTCTTTCAAACTTTTTCGGTTTGAGTAACGTTCATCCCATGAATTTTGGTCGATTCATCAGAGAAATATCCCTGTGTCCAGGGGAATACCCAGCGTTTCAGTTATTTCTCGTGCTACAGGGAATGGATTCAAATAAGTCAGAGGTTTACAAACACAAAACCAAGACTGACAGGAAAATCAACATTCAATTTAAACATGCCCTCTGTTACATAGTTTAATCATTCATGATAATTGTTATCACGAATGGTAAAGCTATTGCGTCAAAAACGGCACCATCGTGAGTCTTCAGATTTCAACATTCGAGTCTGATGCAGTTGCTCAAAAGCACAGTGCATTGGTTAAAATTGCTTGTTATTTTAGCTGGGTCAGAGTGTAATGGAGTCCCTGCATGAAAACATGCTTTCTGGTGATTCTGATGCTTGAAATTCAAATTTGTGAATAAAAAAAAAAGGAGAGCTACATATGTGAAGTAATCAAGAGTCTGGACTTACTTTTGAGAAAAAAAATACAGTTGTCTTATTTTGTGCAAGGTGGTTCCACTCTCAGAGCTTACTTGCTTGCAGATCATCTAAAAACCACCTTAGCATGTCGTACATTACCTTGGTGTGACATTCCAGCCCTCGAGAAGTTGAAGGAAAATGCATATAACTATCTTAAAATATTTGCACAGAAGATATCACTTGGAAAGATGTCTTGAAGCATCTCAAGGCAAGGTTGATCCAAAGATGGAACCCCATTGAAATAATCAGGACATTGGATAACATGGTGAAGCCAGCAATTCAATTCAACTCTAGGCCTTCTTCAAGGGTGAATAGTTCCTGAAAAGCTGTGGGGATCTGGAATGTGGAATGTCTCCTGGGTGATAAAAACTTTTTTTTTACTCATTGCTAGAATGTCCAACTCCAGAAACCGATATTAAATTTCTCAAAATTTCAATCACATGGACTCTGTATCACAAATCATGAACCAGGCAGTTTGAAGAACGGGATCTGGAAGAATACTACGCAATAGCATTGCTCGTTTTTATCGGCGATGGATCGGCCAGGAGATCCACCGCTGCGTACTCCTTCTGGCCCTTCTTTCGCACCTTCAACTTGATGGCACAGTCATCTCCAATGCCCTTTCCTTCATCCACTGTGATCAATATGGAGCATCCAGGTATTATGTGAAGCTTCTCGTGAGCGGCTGCAATCTGATTCACGACTCGACGCTCCACTTCGTGCTTGATCGATCGTGCGCCGTAATGGATGTTGTAGCCGTTAGCGAGGACATTGAGAACATTCCGGTCCCACTTGATTTCTATCCCATGTTTGGATACAGCTTTTCGGGCCCAGAACTGGAGTTCTTTATCGACGAGGGCGAGGAGTTCTTTTCGGCTAAAAGGCAGGAAGTAGACCATCTCGTTGATGCGGCCCAGGAATTCGTCTCGGCGAAAGTGCTTCTTCAAAATGGGCCTCACGACTTCCTCTTGGAAGTGTTTAGACACTGTAATACGTTCAACTAGCTCCTTGTCATCCAGCTTTTCTTCATAACGTTGCTTGGCCACCTCTTCTGCCTCCCTGCGCAGCTGAGCACCATACGTTGCGATCTCATCACTGGCTAGGTTGGAAGTCATGATGAAGATGGCATCCTTGCAGCTGATGGTACGCCCCTTCCCGTCTGTCAGACGACCCTCATCAAATAGCTGCAGGAGGACAGTGAGAACGTCTGGATGAGCTTTGTCAACTTCGTCAAAGAGAACAACTGCATTGGGGAATTCCTTCAATTGCTTGGTCAACTGCCCCCCTTCATCATGGCCAACATAACCTGGAGGTGCTCCGATGAGTTTTGCTACTTCGTGCTTTTCCTGATACTCAGACATATCAAGCCGGATGAAAGCTCCTTTTTTCCCCTTGTGGAGATACTCTGCAACACGCTTTGCCAATTCTGTCTTCCCAATTCCAGATGATCCTAGGAAGAGAAAGACAAGAGGATGTTCCTCATCAATCCAACCATTTTCTTTGCGGCGGATTGTGGCTGCAACTGTCGTAATTGCTCCTTCTTGTCCGACAATGTATTCTTTTATACGTTTTTCGAGTGGGAACTTTCTTCTCTCCTCTGCTTCCTTCTCCCTTGCCTTTTCTACATACTTCTCAGTGTACTGATCAAGGAGTTTCTTCATAGCAGCTCCACGTACATAATCACTTGGCAGATGTCCCAGATCAGACTCAGCTTTGGGATTGGCACCAGCTTGTAAAAGCAGGCTAACCACCCCAGGGTGATCTAGTAAGATGGCATAATGGAGGGGTGTGCAACCACGAAAGGATGCTCTTGCACTGAGACGATCACAGAATTCATCTTCCCGAGTGGCCAAAATGTCCAAGGAATGCAACTGCTTTTCCCGTGCCACCTGGTACACAGTGGAAAATTCATCGCGTGAATCAAGATCTGCACCTGCTTCGATCAACAGCCGAACCACTTCTGTTTGTCCATTGACACACGCAACATGGAGAACCGTCCAGCCAAGTTCATGGCGGGTGTTGGGATCGGTCCCAGCCTCGAGGAGCCTCTTCGTTTCAGAGGCATTCCCAGAACGAGCTGCCTTGAAGAGAAGGGTCTCATTGTTCTTTGGATTTGAGGCACATAGAGCAACAGCCAATGGTACTGACAGGGATGCCATCCCCACATAAATGGATCTCGCAAATTGGAAACGAAGATGAGTTCCTCGGAAGAGAAGTGTGAAGGCAGCCATTGGTTGGACAGATGGTCTTGGCCTCCAATAGGTCAAGACAGGAGACCATCTCAGTCTTGATCGGATAATCTTCAACATGGACATCATTCTTCTGCTTCTATGCATTGAGTCACCAAGTCCCGTAGGCTGGGATTTTCCAGTGCTGCTGCCACTCGCTCCTTGTCATTCAGTTGCTTGTTGACTGAAATGAAACATAATTTATCATCAACATATTCCAATCCTAACTGGATGTCACTGAGACCTATGTCTAATTTGCCTAGTTTGCCTTAATCACATAAATTTGCTGAAGCTTCGCATTATCTACAGTACAATAATGGCATCCTGATGTTCTCTCACTTTCTTGAGCAGATGAATGAGATCCTTCCTTTATCAGAATCTGTAGCTTCACCTTCTCTGGGAAATCTCTTTGCAACTTGGCTCTCAAACTAAGTCCAATGAGTGTAGCCAAGGAGCAATGAGGGACAGTTGGAATGAACTTCACCACAACCTGGTATCCTTTAGACCCCTCTGGCAAATCAGTTACCTGGGACAAAAGAAAAAATTCTAAATTTTCCACTGACATTTGCAACCAGGATCCAAAAATATCATTCATTGATGAAAAAGCAGATGGTGACCTATTCTCAACCTGTACAACAAATTTTTACCTCAACACACTCTTCGGTGACCACACCAAGCTCTTCAAGTGAGGAGGGCTTCTCTGGATCTTGAATTCCTTTGATGATGTCTGAAATAGAAATGAATAGAGTTGAAGCAGTAACCAATCATGAAACACCTCAACATCTAAATCCTAAAGTGTAAAACATTAGATGACAAATTCAACTTCAATTTGAATTAAATCTCAAAGTGCACCTTTTGGTTTACTAATGGCTGTTACTAAGGTTATCATCTTCTGGCATCTTTGAGGCCTTGTAAGAATATGGAGTGAACTCCTAGATAAATTTTAAAATTCAGTTGTTGAAACAACCCAAAATATTGCAAAAAAAAACTCTTAAAACTCTATTTCCTCCAGGAATCCTTCCTGAACTAACTCACTTGCTTCTTCCCATTACACTCATGGGTGTATGCAAATTGCCGTTAATAAGCAGTGCTCCCGTTAATTCACTTTTTTGATCCGTTCTGCTCTCTCCTTGCATAAGCATGACCCCATTTCGTTTCTCTTTCCTCTACCTTGTTTTGTTTTTTACTTCCTTCCATCGTGTTTTTTTCCTTATGTGTTCTTTATTCATTTTCCTGGCTGTCATAGTGTACACCTCTTTTTACGCGCAAAATAAACCGAACTGAATTGGGCTGACGCAACCTATTAGCAATTGAGTGTCATGGGTTTGCCCTGGCATGACCTCAATTTCCACTCACCGTAAATTGCCAATTTCACGTCTTCGAATTCCTCTTCTTTAGTCTTAGAATTTCCACTCGAAGACATCGTTGTTCAGCTTTCCATGCCGAAAACAACGTCTGACGGGGAAACCCACGTGTAGCATCCCGCCATATTAGATTGAAATCCAAGATGGCCGCCTCCCGGATGGTCATGGATCCCCAGCCCTCTGCCTCTTCCTCTGGCCAGCCTCGAAGGAGGTGAATTCTCATGTTCTGGCTGATGTTAATTTCTCTGATTATGAAGATCCCAGCATTTTAAAATGACATTTTGCATTCCCAGTTCGTCCCGTTCTATCAAGAGAAGAAGATTCGATGATGAATTGGTGGAATCGAGTTTGCAGAGGCCTTCGCGCCTCTCTGCTTCTTCACGGCAGTCCTCTTCGTCCCGTACAGGTTTCATCCTTTTTCCACCTTAATGTATCTTTGTTTCCTCAAGGATTTTGATTTGGCTGATTATTGCATTTCTACGGAACAGATCAGGCGGAGTTGTTCATACTCTTTTTGTGGATTGCTTTAACCTGCATTTAGACGACCGCTGCATCGGCTGGATTCCCTTTTAGCGATGCCTGCAGGTGTATTGATCAGCATGATTTATGATAATATGCATTATTTTTACTATGGGAACAGAATATGACCTCTTAATAATTATTGCACAGGGGTAGTTTAGAGTTTAACTCTAGTCTGCTTTGTACATCTAACTTGATAGCATAGGAGTGAGCTTTCTGATATCAATGAGTTTATCTCAGTCATCCTTATCTGAAGAGTTTTGTCAACAATGTAGCCCCCTGATAAGTAGAGACTTTCATTCCTGCAATAAAATTAACACTTACTGTCAAATAACTTCAATGTACATGGTCGTCCAAGCAACTCGAGTCGCCTTCATCAGCAAGAGTGTTAATCTGTACAAGTTTCTGATGCAGAGTCAGAGAGTCAAGAGCTTCAGGAGGGAGGGAGTGCAACAAAGAGTGCCAAGAAAGGTCTCATATCTGTAGCTGATTACTACCGGCGGCGAAGCACAAAAGTTCACAGACGAAAGAGCACGTCCAAGAAAGGCACTTTGGGGGCATCCCTGAAAGATCTCAGCCGTTGGAAACCCACCGATGATCTGCTCTTAATCAATGCTGTCCTCCAGGTAGGATGATCCTCATTGTACTAGTACTTAGCTTCTCCCTCAGGCTTTTCTGCTTCAGTTGCTTTTTCTGAATAGTTGAATGATTTTGAATTTCTTATTATTATTATAGACCAATGATCTTCAGGCAGTACATCTAGGCGTGAAGTTCTCTTGCAAGTTCACACTCAGGGAGATCACTGATCACTGGTACTCTCTCCTCTATGATGCACCGCTTTCTCAGATCGCCCTTCAACGCATCCGTTCCCTGCCGACCGAGATGGTCGAAAGGATCAACTCACAAGCACTGTTCTCAACCCAGGAGGAACAGATTCTCTCTCAAGTTCCGGTATTTTTTCTTCAAAATGAATTTTTGGTGGTTCCATGTGGTGTGCCTCTCTTTAGTTTGTGTTGTGGCTTGTGTAGGTGGAGGAAGGAGGTGACCTGGAAACTTTTGAGAAGCTGCTGCAGGAGCATGGAGCTGAGTTCCATCAAAATAGGACTGCAGTGTCATTGCACAATCATTGGCGCCTCATGAGACAAGCCAATCTGCTTGCTTCACAAAGTATGCATTTCTCAATGATTGTGAAAATTGTGGCAAAATTCACATGTGTTATACTAATTTGAGTTCACAAGGTGTAAGCCTTCTATGTGATATCATTGCTTGAGGTAGCCTCACTTTGTCACTATTTTTCAAGTTTTGAACTATACCTTCAGGTTTCACTTTCTTTTTAGTTAAGAACATTGCCAGTCTTGAAAGAAAGATACCATGGTTTTACTTGAATACTTGTCAGGTGGAATAATATATGCTAATACCAACTAGATGAAATATGAAAGGATGAAACTTTCTTGATACTTGCACTTAACACTATTTCCAGCAAAGTGGCAAAGTGAGAACCTATCCCACAATTGTGCCACAGACTCTTTTTCTCTGATATGGTTGAAGTTAATATTCAATCCAGAGACTGGATTGCACAAGGTCACAGAATCCCAATATTGCTCATTGGAATGACACTTTTGCTTCTATTAGCCATTTTCTCTCAAGTTCTGGAAAAGCCATTATGTTGTTTTGCCACTTCATACATTTAATTATCAGAAAATCCACTCTGATGACACTAGAGGAGTTAACAGTTTATTCCTATTGAAGGCCCTTGTGGCATTTCATCTCATCTGTAATTGAAAGTGATCTGTATTGCCGGACTGGGCTTAGCTGTTTTGGTGCCCTGTGCAAAGAGTCTCCCAACATTGCCCCCACCCCTTCAATGGAGAAGGGTCAATGCCTAGCATCCAAAAAGGTGCCAAAATGGATTGCATTCCCAGTTTCTGTTGTGAAACTGAGGGTGGTATTGATTATAGCTTCATTCATTCTGGCACGTTTTGGCACCCCTGGTGAATTTGCACCCTGTGCTATGGCACATGCCTAAGGCCAGCCTTGCTGGTATGTATCAGAGAACAACTGGCAGTTCAACAATGTTCTTTACAAATCAAGTCCCATTTACCTTTTTTTCTTCCGAATTTGCAAATGTGAAGTTTTCTTTCAAATTAAATGACTCTGTTGTTGATCAATCTTACACACCAGGTCCAGAGATGCATTCCTTTTATGACATTGATGTCGGTACAGAACCTCTGCCAGATCCATTTGATGAGGCTACTGAGAGGGAAATGCACAGGCAGATCAGGTTTGTGAAGTGGATCATCCTTGATGGCTGAGCTACCCAAAGTTCCTGTCAGACATGACTTGATGTTTTTTTTGTCACAGACGTCGAAGAGCTGCCATCAACACATTAGAGGCCCAGGTGAAAGTGCTTCAAGTCGCAGTGGAATCCGTAACAGGAATCAATTCGCCTGAATTTGATGCTCAGACTCTGGCCGTCCTCCACGGCCGCCTCGTCCGATATCTCGTCCGCTCCAAAGAGGTTCCTTGAAAGATACTCATATGATTCTAGAATTGGGGAAATCATGTATGCTTCTAATCAACACTGGATCTTTCCTTTAAAAAAAAAAAAGGTGACGTTTGGGAGAAGCACCAACGCGAGTCAGGTGGACATCGACCTGTCACTGGAGGGTCCTGCATGGAAGGTGTCTCGGAAGCAGGGCACCATAAAACTCCGCAGCAACGGAGACTTCATTGTCTGCAATGAGGGCAAGAGACCCATCTACATCGACGGAAAGCCCGTCCTCCAAGGCTCCAAGGCCAAGATCAGGAACCAGTCCATCTTTGAAGTAGGTTTAAAATGATAAATATAGAGTGACCAATATATTGGTTACAGATATAAATCAACTGATGTGGCATATCGGCAAGTATTCACAATGGGTCTTTCAAACCTTCAGATTTCTGCCAATATAAGTAGAGTAAGTATTAGTAAAAGAAAATATAAGTAGGACTATCTTTTTTGCGCCCATACAGAAACTCTGAGACGTGTGATATAGCCAATATGGCATCATCCAAGAGATGAGGAATCACAGGTCTTTTGCTCTGGTTATGTTCCTGGTCTGGAACATAGAAACAGACCTTCACTCTAGGGCTTAGGTTTGGCCTATGCTTTGTTGCCTAACTTCATTGTGAGTTCATCAAGGAGAATTTGAAAAAAATCAGGCTGTTCTGTTGAATCTTCAATATGGTTTTGTTCATGCTGAAATATCAGCCAATATCATATCAGCCATTGGCTTCATTTATCTGAATTTGTCAAATCTGTCAAATCCAATAATTGGTCTATCTGATGATAATCACATTGATAAGTTTATCATTGTCCTGAGTGTTGTTATGCAATTGGCTGCTTCTTTCCTCTTGTCTCAGGTGAGTCATTTGCAGTTCATCTTCTTGGTGAATTTGGATCTGGTCGCTGCAGTAGAAGAGGAGACTGCCAAGAACACCTTGGCCTCTGCGTGATAGAAACGTCCTCAGGGTCGTGCGTCATTACCCCTTCTTCGCACCAGTTGAATCGAATTGAAGTATTTCTGGGAAATTATTCCCTGTTTTTGTGTCTACTACCTTCTGAATAAATCATATTCAGTGCCATTCCAAAACTCTGCTAATGATGTCGTTCAGGTGTTCCCTTTGCAGGATCGGAAAAGCCCTTGAAGAAGTCTTGTAATGTGAGGTGGACAAAAAAGTGGACACTTCATATGACATTTACTGATAAGAGACTGATCAAAGTTAATGATGCATACCATAGAAGTATGTATTGTTCCATTGAAAAAAAATTAATGTGTGAGAGTTGTATTTATGGAAGTACTAACATGAGGAAAGTCTAGTGTGAAATGAATTAATATGCTCGGTGTAAGTGGATGAGGGACTATACCATCTCATTATTCAGCAGGAAAGCTCATACATTTTCTGTACTTCATGGCGCTTTTTCAAAGGAGTCATGCAGCTCGTATAAAGTTTCATTCAAATTTCTCGAAGAATTTTGGTAAATTTGGTATGAATCAGACTTGAAAGGGTATTTTTCTCATCCTTGCTGAAGGCAACACCTGAAGTTGACCTTGACAGACTCATTTCCAGTCCATTGAAGCGTTTTTATTGCTTCCAATTGCTTCCTGCTTTCTCCCCTAAAATCCCCTCAGGAATGAGATGCCCGATGGCATTTTCATTGGGGGGAAGGAATTACCTGCTTTCAAAAATATTTCGCCTGTGATTTCCGTCCTGACATGAACTTCGCTTTCAGTTACCACCATGGGCAGTAGTTTCTCGAAGGACTGCTCGAAGCAAAATCCTGCCCATGGATACAGGTGAGAAAATCCCATTCCCTCGAAAACGAAGGAAAATGGCGAATGAACCCCTCGGTTGCAGGCTGTTCCAGGGAGACATGTCGAACTGGATGGGCGAGCTGCCCCAGTCGGCTCGGGAGGCGTCCATCTGCCACCTCGCCATTCCAGGTTCGCCGTTCTTCCGAATCTCCCATCCTTGGTTGCCCGTGGTTGCCCTCGATTTTCCTCTGTTGCCCGTGGTTGCCCTCGATTTTCCCCTGTTGTCCTTGGTTCGGCGATGCCAGGTTGTTGAACAGTTGGCAGAGGTTCTACCTCAGACGAGACGTAACCGAATCTCATATTTTACATATTTCGGCATTACATGATTCTGAAAGCGTATACGAGCAGAAAAAAATACGAAACTAATAACCAAAGAAATTCATTTAGTAAAGGGGACTAAAAAGTGATGATATCCGCCAAGTTCGCCTGGGAACTTGTCCGTCTTTTCCTCCTAATTGGTTATCCAGGACAAAATGAGACAGATTTGCCTTTCGCCTTTCAGTGCCACAGTAATGTGGGTCATGCATTCCCACCAAGCCAGGTTTTTTTTTTTTTAAACAAGAAACCTAACTTTACAGTTCATTTTACATATCTATATATTTTGAGCAAATAGTCCCACAGAACTTTTCTGAACAAAAAAAAATATGATTTGCCGTTTATTTTGGTAATGGCACGAATTCAAACGGTTAGGAGGCCACACATATGCAGGTTTGGGGCTTAAAAGGTTAACGAGCGCCGTCGTTTCGGGAGTTCTAAGCTTGCTTCTTCAGGGTAGAAAAATTCTAGAGAAGAGGTTTTTAAGGGAATGAAAAGCATTCAAGCGAGAAAAAAAAAGTTAAAGAAACGGAAAATCGGATGAAAATGTGCTAGCAGAGCAATTGCCCTCGCAGCCGACGGCGGCTTTCTCACTGCAACTTCACCGTGCAGTTGTAGGGATGGTCCTGATGTCGAGGGAAGCTTCCGACAGCCCGTCGAAGTTTCGAAGCTCACTCACGAGCACAGCATGCTGTTGCAGACGACAGGCAGGGCGCGTCTTTTTCTCCAGCTGCTAGCGAAAAAGACGCGTTGGCAAAGCAAGACCACCTCATCGAATGACGTCATTCTTGGGCAAGCAGCTGGCAGCGGAACATAGCGAACTATGGGAACGCCGAGCAGCTCAGCCTTAACATGACGTCATGGCATGCTGGAGGCCTCAGCAGAGCTAGCAGAGCCGCTAGGAAAAAAGACGCCCCCGCATTCTGACGCAGTGACGTCACAATGCTGTCGACCAATCGCCGCGCGAGGAGCGCCCGGGGTCCCTCCGGGCCGAGCGCGCGGCGGACGGACCCGCGAAAGGGTTGCCGGATCGAAGGGTTCCCGAGGGACCCGGCAGCACTGCGACGTTGGGTCGCCCGGCGCGCGGGTGGAAACTCGACCGTGGGAAAGGCCCTTGGGGCCTATCCCAAGAAGCGAGCGAATAGGAAGCCGCGCCGCGATTAGATCTCGGATCCACGGACTCCTCGAAGGAGGAGATAAGGTGAAACACCCAGAGATCCGCATGAACGCCTAAGAATCTCCCAACTGAAGGGGAGATTTTAAAAATAATACATTAGAAAAGGAGAAACCATCAGGTGAAAGGAAAATAAATTTAAGCAATTCGGAGAGAAACAAACTCATCAGAGATCTAAGGAAGGAGCAGATATGTCTTTTGGAAAAAAAAAAAAGATATATATATACATATGTACAATAAGAAATTGATAAAACGAGAGGGAAAGTCTGGCGTTGGTCGAGGATGAGGTTAAGGATGCCGCGGTTTACGGGCGGTTCAGGTTCCGCGTGAGGTTTAGGACGCGTTTTTCTGGCACAATTTCCTCGCCGATCGCGATCGGCTCGCAGCTGCGACGTCGCCGTTATCGGCGAGATGTCGTGGCGGTTGCATAAGTTTAACTCGCGATGGGAAAAAAATTTCTTCCTCAGAAAATTTGAAATTATTTTACTTCAAATTTTCTGAGCAAAAATTTTTTTCATGATTTTGATGGAAATTAACGATACGCACGATTCGAGAGTTTATTTCACGCTCTGCAATTAAATATCAGGCGACTTGTTTACCCATTGCGTAATTTTATATGCATAACAAGCCTTCATGCATAAATCACGCCAACAATACGAATTTTTATTTTATAATACGAAGTGCAAACGCATAAGCTGCTAAAATAACCCCGCAAGCTGCAAATTATTAATAATTTGTATTTATTCTTATTTATTTATTTATACCATTATACTATTTATTTATTTATACCATTATACTATTTATTTATTTATACCAAGGCTCGCACGACAGCTTCACCTCCGACCTGTCGTGGAAGGAGGCCCCGGGCCCTGACCTGACGCCGTGCGTCCGCCGGACCATCGAGCGGACGGGCCGGCTCGGTCGCCTGTTCGCCATCCGCTGGTGCCAGACGCAGGACGCGGGGCTCGCCGAGCAGCTCGAGCTGGGCGTCAGGTGCGAATTCCTTGGGTTTTCGGAGTTAACGACGGGGAGATGAGTTTCGGAGTTTCATTTTTTTTTATTAATAATTATTATTCAACACGTGATGTGATTAGTTGCATGTACCGGTTATCATCTTCCACTTTAGTGTGGCCCTTCACACGAAAGTAACGGGCGCACAGGATGGAACCGACCACGTCCCACTAAGCGGCGACAGGTCGCTCATCCGAGGCACTCGATCCGTGAGCGCGTGAGCAGCTGCACGGAGCCGAGAAGGACGGCCGTCTGCATGCAGCCGGCCGACGAGTAAACTTTCGATCTTCTCCAGCTCTGTAGCCGGCGTGTCCTTCGTGCTGCCGAGATCATCAGGACGGCATGGTGCAGGCAGTAGCAGGGATATCGACCTCGAAGCTCGAGCAATCGGTCTTGGTGATTTGATCTCTTTTTCCTCCTTGCGAGAGATATTCCTCTCGGATGGGCTGGAGAATTCCGTCGCGAAGATCTCCTTCGCAACCCCATCAAATAACGTCCGTCT